GGAAGGAACATTACAACATCCTTTCCCGTGTGGGGTTCATTTAGAAATCCTCGGCCAATGTCTTTCTAAAGACACTAAGCTCTGCCTGTGTACAGGGGAGAGACTTTGAAGGCTGTGTAGAGGAGCCTGAACCTTCCACTGACAACCTGAGTTACAACCAGCCCTCAGGAACGAATTGCGTTCCTAAGTCAAGGGTCCACTGTAGTCACAGCTCACTAATGCCCACCTGTGAAGGCCTGACCCTAAATGGCATGCGATGTGGACAGGAAGAGCAAGATGCTCAGAGGAGGTATGACCCCTGGGCTGGGCTGGAGGCTTCCTGGAAAAGGCACTGGGAGCACCCTGCACTGATCAACAGTTGGGAACAAGCTGTAGAAAAGTACCCAGGCCAATCCTGGGCCACCAGAGCCAGCCACCAGAGGGAGAACAGAGTCTGCAATGAGGGAGACACATCACCCCCCAGGGCTCATGACAGTACCCCCAGAGGGACTGGTCATGCATTCAGGGAAGCCTTCTTGGAAGAAGGGCTATTTCCAGCTTGTTTGTGGTAAGAAAGTAGAGATGAGTCAGGCTAGAGAAAGTAGTGAGGGACAGGGACGTGGAAGAGAAAGCTCTGTCTCGTCTCGTCCTTCCCTTGGGAGGGTGAGGTCAGGCAGGTGGGAGGTGGATGGACAGAAGGAGCAAAGAAGCCTGAGGAGAAATGGAGATAACATCCGTGCTGACACCATGGTCAGGGCTAGTATGGATGGCTAGGGCTGGCAGGGAGCAGCTCCCCAGCTGTGGCTGGGAAGCGTTTCCTGTCTCTTTGCCAGGGGGGTCATTAATAATCATTTACCCGCCACGGGCAGCACGGAGGCCAGCCAGGGAGCAGCATGGTGCTGGAGCCAGAGCCCAGCCTAGCGGCCAGGAGAGCTGGGTAATGGCATCAGCCCTGACACTTGCTGTGAGAGCTGGACCAGTCACCTGACCTCTCTTGATCTCAGAATGCTGGCATAAGGAGAGTCTGATGAGGATGCCACCTTAAACTCCTGCTCTGCGTTGTGCCTCAGTTTCCCTAGTTGGTAGCCCTTGGGCTGCCAGAGCTACAGAGCAGTAATGGACATCTAATGAGAGATAGGACTGTGTAGCCTATGCCAAGCTCAACCCAGGATACAGGGAAGGGGCCAGGGAGATCCAGGATCAGCCTCTAAGAGCTGCCATCCTGGCAGGAGCCAGACACTAACGGGGTGCACGTGTGGGGGCCCCACAGAACCAGATACAGTTTGGGCTGGGGAAAACATGGGAAGGAGAGGTCAGCTGCATTGATCCTGGAGTCGGGGGGGCACAGTGTGGCTATGAATAGAAGGTGGGAGCTCTATAAGACCAATTTGGTCACCACCATGACCTGGCCACTTAGAACTGTCCCTGGGTGGTAGCGTGGGGCCTCCAAAATGCTTTTAGACAATTGCATGAGTTAAATGAGACATTCATGGAAAAACCTCAAAAGTTGGAAAGAACGGCCTGAAAGATGATGACAATGATGATGATGATGATGATGATGATGATAATGATGATGACGATAATGATGGTGAAAATAACCATGACAACAATGGTCTGGCTGAAGAGCATAGATGGGAAAAGGTGACATGAAAGCTTGAACAGGCTGGAGGCTCCAGGATGGCCATCCAAAGCCAGAGTGTGTGACTTGGTATCAATGTCTCCTTCACTGGTTGGCCAGAATCCTTCTCAGCCCCAGGCCATGTTGCCCTGCCCACCCCAACACCCTTTAAGATCCAGCTCACCTTCCAGAAGGTGACCCTGAAGCATGGGCCCCAGCACCTTGCCCTGAGCAACTCTGCCTGTCCCTATGCCTCCGGCCTCAAGAAGTATTGGGCTTATGTTCTCAAATACCAGTTGGGAGGCTGACCAGAGGGTTTTCTCATATTTCCCAGCTTCCTCTGGAATGTTGGCCTGGACCCTCAACCAACTGGATCTTCTCATCAGCCTACAGGGTCCCCAAAGGTATGTCTTTCAGGGTCCCCAAAGTTTTGTCTTTCAGGTAAAGATCTCTGTGAGGCCAGGGACTATTTTCCCTCCATTAGATGTAGAGTCAACGAAAGGGGTAGACTGAGCTCTTCCTGGCTGTCTCCCAGCCCATGACCCTCCCTGGAGGCCACAACCACAGAAAGGGAAGAAAAGGAAGCATAGAAAAGGGGGTCTTGACTGCTGAGCACTCCTGAGTGGATATGAGCAAGAAAAGGCACTGGGCTACCACAGGCTTAAGAGTGTGGCGTTGGCAGGCTTACGCAACTCGAAGCCCAGTCCAGGCTGCTCTGGCCCCAAGAGGCACCACCAGGGACACTATCTAGCCTCACTGCCTGCCCTGGACGCTCTCTTCTTTGAAGCACCATGAGGTGGTAGTAAACACAGTGACCTTGCTGACACGTGTCTCTTTTCCCCGCCCCCTCCCAACCCTGGCCCAAACACAAGACAGGCTGAGGCAAAGAACAAAGGTTCCTGGACTGCGACATTGTCTGCCGCCCGCCTGTCCAGCGCCTGCTCAGCAGGAAACCCAAAACAAAGGCTTTGGTCAAAGTGAAGAGGATAAAGGGCAAAGGGTAGGGGGGGCAAGCAAAGACATCTCTAGGGACCTTATTGGGAGGGAAGCAAGAACAGGATAGCAGCCAAGCCCTCCCTGCACACACACGTCACTCCACAAACATTTATGGGGCAGCTGCTGTCTTACACACACACACCTCATAATATACCTCATTCCTCACACCACACACTTCATGCACATACTCCTTTATCCCAACCAGCATGTTCTACAGCCTGCCACCTCCAGTTTAGTGAACACACTCCTCATCACACACACAAACAGCTCATGGGGAGAAAAGATCACACAATCCGCACCTCACACTGAAAAGTCACAGGGCTCACACACCCACACTTCACACCACATGCACACTCAATCTCCCACCATGCATCTCACATACCTCATACCTTCCCAACCACAGACACATGCATCCAATTAAATTCAACACACATGCCACTCAGACATAGAGACACATGCAGATACATCCTGCATAGATAATGTGCACACCTAATGTCACAGCAGCATGGCACATGTTTGTGGGTTCACAAAGACCTCAGCGCAGACAACCCTGCCTACACTCAGCTTCATCCTACCCACCCACCCACACAGTTGGTCAGCTGGACACCTCGGCCCTGGCCGCACCCTTTCCTGCCCAGAGCTGCATAGCCACCACACAGAAATGTGACACTCAAACACCACCACACAGGTCCTAATACAGCCCCAAGCAACAAACTCAGGATGTATCACAGTGACTGTAACCCATCACTAGGCTACAAACACACTTAGACACACAACCATCACCCCCCAGCTCCTCTCTGACAAAACACCCAGTGAAATCCATCAGGTCCCCACCACAGCTCTTCCTGGCTACACACAGCAGTCAATAACATCCCCAACCACATATACAATCCCCCATGCAAACTGCTCCTGCAACAATTGCATGTTGCACTCACAGACACACAACTGCATATGCACAACAGCCACACACCCCGCTACCACTCCACATCCACAACACTGCTTCCCTAGCCACACATGGCAGCGATGTCATAAACTCACAATCCCCACATTCACCATGACATAGCCATCAGTGGAACAACACACATGATTACACACAGAATGTACCCAACACACGCAGCCCAGCTCAAACTACACACAAACACACACACCCCAAAAACACAGCCCTGGATAACTCTTACCTCAAGTGACTGACCCCAGCTTATCATCTATTCCCCTCCCCCCTGTAAACCTCCAGGTGCCTCAGTCAAGACCAGGAAAGCAGGGCCAACGGGGTAATAAGTTATGAATGCAATGCCCCACCAGGTCGCCACCTGCCTCAGTTCCCCAGGCACCAGCCATGAGCAGCACACTCCATATTCAGGCCCACACCATGCCATTCATGGTGGAGAGCCTGGGGAGGGATGGAGGTCCTGGAGACCCTGGCCCTGCCCTATGAACCTGTCTCTTCCTCATCTCAAAGTAGAAGCAGATATAAGGGGAAGGGATGATCCCAGAGAGACCCTAGACCAAAGATAGAGACCTAGAGAAATGGAGAGACAAACCAACAGAGGTGGGTATGCTGCACAAAAGACCAACACAAGAGAGAGGCAGAGGACAGAGAGAGAAAGAGAGAGAGAGAGAGGGAGAGAGAGAGAGAGAGAGAGAACGCCCAAGAGTTGGAGAAAGACCTGTGGAGAGACCTAGAAAATAAAGTGGAAGCACCACACCCATAGAGAAAGGAAGGGGAGACCAGCAGGAAAAGACAGAGGGTCTCCTCTAAAGGGGAGAGGGGAGGAACCCAGCACAACCTCTGCAGGAGACCTGCGGAGGGGGAGAGAGAAGCCCAGGTAGGAAGAGGGGTTTGGACTTGGGGTACCATCTGGGCTGAGTACTTGAGTCTGGTGTTTCAGTGGGAATCTTGATGGGGTGCGGCTGAGGCTGTGGAGGTTCATGGTCTTGGGCTGAGGCCCCAATTCTGACATGGGGCCCTGCAAGATATGGGTTCAGGTGGTCTGAGGGACCAGATCTGGCATGTACAGTGGAGGTTCAGAGGTGTGTGTAGGGGTCTTCCACGCCTCTGCAGGATGAGGTTTCAGGCTTGAACAGAGCTGGCAAGCTGGCCTGGGGGTCCACCCGGGATTGGGAGTTCAGGGCATACAGCGTGGTCCCTGATCCGAACGTTATTCAAAGTCCAGGCTGGCATTTACACTGTAAGCTGGGGGTTCAAGGGCTCCCTCAGTGTACTGGCTGCAGTCCCAGTACAAGAGTGGGCTTCAGAACTAGGGAGGGGTCCCTTCTCTGAGCAGGGTTCAGGGGGTTCAGGGGAAGGTAGACTTTGGAGCTGACGACCTGTCCCCAGCTGGGGCGTTCTCCGGACATCCCGTTCTCCCTGTGCCCAAAACCTGGACGGAGGCGGGGGGGGGCCTACCTGAAGGTTGTCGGCGCATGGCTGCGGCGGCGGCGGCGGCGGCGGCTCGTCCGGCTTGAGGAAGACCTGCTGGCCCCGCCTGAGGAATTGGACAACAGCGATGAGGATGTGGTGCAGCACTAAGACCATGCTCACAGCCGCCCG